ATTGTGCCTGTTGACATTTATATCCTTTTATTGAAGATATAGCAAAACAATACGGATTTCTTAAAAGAAAGAAAATCCAAGTTTGTACACTGTGCAATTCAGCATCAGTGTAAAACAATACAGAAAACAGTTTCCATTGATTTCATATCTACTTTCCTAGATTTCAACAGATAACCAACATGCAATATACAAGGAGAAAGAGGATATTACATAAATGTCTTTCTTAAGCTTCAAGTTTAAACCAGAATTTGCCCCTGTGTGATGCTTATACTCACTATTTAGTATTGTGTTACAGATGTTTAAAGGGTAGGAGCTTAAGAAGCATCCGTGCTCGGCTGGCCGGACTGAAAAACGGAAATTGTCAACTCTGACATGAATAAAATCTTGTCATATAAGGTGCCAAAAATGAGGTTTCCTCTAGCACACAAGTGAAACAAGAACAGGGAAGTACACATGCATCGTGATCTCACCATAACATCATGAGATGATGAACTGTTCTCTGCAAGACTCAAGATTTTAAAAAGATAGCGGTCATGAAGTATGTGAGGCCAAAGAGCCGGGGAAACTTCCCATGACTTACTCACTGGGAAGATTTCCAAGACTTACATTAATGAGACTACCCAAACAAACACTGCGACAGCCAAGAGCCTCGAGACGTAGCTCTTCTCAGTCATTTAGGAGTAGCGATTGCTACATAACAGAAACATAACAGGAGACTGACTCTTTTCAAGTATTTGCAACTGAGGGCTTACAGAAAGTCAGAGAAGAATAGACTGAGAGATGGATCAAGTACCCATACTCTTCAATGAAACACCATCATGTGAAAATATCAAAGCAGTGTTAAGTGTGTGTGTTTTTTTTTTTTCATCTAAGGAAGGGTAAAAGAAAGGTTTTAATTCCCTTTATTTCAGATTTCTAGTTCAAGTTCAAGTTGGTAAAAAATAGCAAAGGAACAGATTTCACAAACAATTAGATTTCACAAAGTACCTGCACTTAAGTCTCGGTCGTTGTGTCCTTGGGCAAGACAC